TTTACTACTGGTGGTTGGCTTTGGTTGCAGTACCGCCACCTTCTGCTCTGGAGTGTAAACGCTTCGCCTATGAGAGCAGGCGAAGCGTTTACACGCAGCGCATGAACCGAACACAACACACGCGAACCGAACCGAGACAGTCGAACCGAACGGTTCGGACGGTTTTCATAAACCGTTCCATCCCTAATATCTATCTATCTATCTATCTATCTATCTATCTATCTATCTATCTATCTATCTATATATAAATATTTTTAGTATTTTAGCATTTAAAATAAAAAAATAAAAAAATCATCTCCCAATAAGCTCTGTCCATAACTTATGATTTTTTTTTTATTATTTGTAAAAAATCTTCTTTAAAGAACCTTTGGGTATTCGAAAAAATAAACATTGATTAGATTGATAAGATGAATCGATTTGCAAAATAATCGTTAATTGCAGTCTTTATTTATAGTCTTATGTTGACACTGGTGAGATTAAAGTTGCTTATTTTAATTCTATAGTTCCATGTTCTGTTTCTTAGTCTTAAATCATATTTTTCGTTATTATGAGAATTTGAGTCTCATGCAGTCATTTTTAGTTTCTTTTAATATTCTGGCTTTTTCGAGGAAACTGGTGCTAAAGACATGAACTGATAGAGGAACTGAAGTCATACTCTGATTTTTGTTGACTATAAAAAACCCAACAAAGCAATGTGGAGGGTTTATTAGAACAGCTGGAGAGCTACATCCATCTCTCCAACTGAACTGGCAAATTGTGATGAAGAACTAATATGTAGAAAGGACGTCTAGTGTGTCGAATTAAACCTCGATTTTTTTTAAAGTTATATTTAAAACGGCAATAAATCATTTTTGAGTTTGATATTTATTGTTTTAAAGCGTGCTCTCTGCTGTGGGGGCTGCAGAATGTTCACCTGCCTCAGTGAGCTAATGCAGTCTTAACAGCACCAGGTTCTTCCCTGATGTATATATCCAAACAAGGAGGTAATTAAAAACAGGGTTTCTGCAGCTTTTGTGCTTATTAAAAGTCAGGGTATCAGCATAATTCTATTGTTATTGTTAAATGTACTGGGGAGGAAGCCCAGATGTCAGACAAAGGGTCATTAAGCTTATTTAAAAAAAAGAAGAGCTTATCAACCTGGTTTTCAGCATAATAGTGACTTTATTGAGCATAACGTCCCGTTACACTGAAAGATGCTAGCAACAACCCTGAGAGGAATACTAAAAATCGATCACTCTATAGCCCCAACAGTTACACTAACAGAGCTTAGCAGGTATGGTACTTGCAAGTCCAAAAACATGTCTGCATCAGTTTTGAACCCTTGCTTTTGTTTGAGGTCGTACCACAGAGGAAATGCCTTATTCAAACTCTGTGAACCCTGTACTGATCTGATTCTCGTATTCTCCTCCAAGAAAAGTTTTTTTTTTTTTTGCTGGCTCCACTATATCCTAAATCTATCATCACTCCTGGGTCGTGCAGTTTAAGGCATGCAGCTATTAAAGTCAATGGCTTTGTATTGGGGTACCATGTCTGTCCTACCACAAAAACAAGAACGGAGCCATGAGACTCTAATTGAAACTTTTAAATGAGGTTTTATAACCAGAGCTAGTAGGGGGGAGATGACAGACCACTGTACCTTCTCAGAAAAACACTGAAATAAAAAGCACACGCACGATATATTAAGGTAAAACATTTTTTACTTGGTGCTGCTTATAACCGATGCACTATACTGGATAAAATTACCTCTCATATGTAATTCTCTGTGTCTTAACTCGAGAGGAACACAAAAGCCAACATTCATTAAAAGCAAAACCTGCTTTACTCGCTCCAAAGTAAAGAAAGTGGGACAAAGGAATATCTGGAAACTTTACCTGTAAATCTTTAAGGTAAGCGATTTCATGCGGTAGACATTCTAATTTGTTTTCCTCCAGGTCGAGTTCTCGTAACTTTCTCAAACTTCCAATACCATGCGGTAGCTTCTTCAGAAGATTATTGGACAGTATTAATACCTGGAAGACAGGGTCATAAATCAGAATAGACTGACCATCGGTGACAGTCTGGCAAACATTTCCATTGATATAATAATTTACTTTTAACACAAAAGGCTGCCAAGATGCAACCTAAATTAGAATTTTATCATGCCTCATAAAAGTATTCACACCCCATATACTGTTTACATTTTACATCACTAGACAAACAAACTTCAGTCTTTTTGGATGTATTTTGTTTTTGGGTGGTAGGAATGCTTATAAAATGAGATCTAATCTTTTACTCCAACAAAACAAAAGCCTTTAAGAACAGACAACATGATCCTAAATACATCGCTATAATCAAACAGTGGAGTCAGCACAATACTTTTCTTTTGCATGGTTGTGACTGATGGGAATATGAATGCAGGACAAACCTGGGGAGAAACCATCTGTTGGGCACAGCCCAAGATCTATGATTGGGGGGAGGGTTACTATTCAAGCAACGCAACGACCCAATGGAGTCAGAGATGTAACGGACTGGTTTCGATAAAACCATGCTAGTATGTAGAATGGCCTAGTCAAAGACCAAAACTAAATCCAACAAACAATCTGAGACTAGACTTAAAAAAGATTCCTCACAGACCAACTCCATCCAATATGAGATGAAGCTAGTCCTTTTAATAAATGTGTAGGCATGTCCTGAAACAGAGGTTCCTAAACTTTTAAGCCTCTGACCGACAAAAACGGTCCCAGTCGACTCAGGACTCAGACTATTGATTGAATACAAAATCACTCCTACAAAAATCAACTCAGGTGTTGCCAACAGCAGCAACAACCAAAGTAAATGTAGTGGATTCTTTTAAATCTTTAAACACATAAATAATTATTTGGTTTGGACCAGAAAACACTCCCTACTGATTGATCAAGAACCCCATGTAGAATCATAACCCCAACTTCGGGAATCACTGCCCTAAAGGTCTTGGGAGGCAAATTATAACAGGTTATTTTCTCACCTTTTATTCTCCCTTTCACTTTTGTGAGCCCATTTTTGTTAAACTCTCACATGGAATCATGAACTCTTTTACAGTGGTGTGGAATTTTTTTAAAGAATCAAAGGGTAAGATAACTTTTGCAAGACTGCATAACAAGTTTACTTGAATTGCGGATTTCAGTGACAAACTTTTAAAAGACCCTTTACAGGAACAAAGCATAAGAAAATAGCAAAGAGCATTACAGTGGCACAATAAAAAAGGATAACAAAAAAATTTGACATTTTAATCTAAAGTTGCATCACCTAAGAAATTCCAAATTACAAAATTTTATCTTAAGGCTTTAGAAGAAAAAACGCCTCTTAATGACAAATAAATACCATATCTTTATTTCAGCATAAATAGAAATACAAAAAACGACCTTAACCAATCAAAGATAAACCTGAAACCTACAGGACAAGATAAAGACCCACCTCTAGAGAGATAAGTCCACAGATGTCTTCTGGGATTTTATTCAGCTGATTAGTGGCCAGGTTAAGTTCAACCATGCTAGTCCATGTGCCAAAATCCAACGGCAAAGCTGTTAACTGGTTGTCCTGAAGGAGTAAATAACAATGTATTTAACTTTGTATAATACAATGCAAAATGAAAGCTGGTTGTGAGGGACTGAGTATTTAGCATACATGCTAACTCCAGCTAACGAGGAAGATTAGACAGAAATCAATCCATGCATATAAAATTTGAGTGAAATCAGATCACAGTTTTAGGAAAAAAATCATGCCAAATAGAAATTTTTCTAAAGATTTAACAAAACAAAA